CTCACCTGCACAGCCTGTGACAAACTGTGAAGCTGGGGGACTCCAGGACACGAGCCCCGCCGTGCCCTTGGAGATGAGATGTGCCAGCCCAGTGTGCTCCTGCTGGGCCCCCACGCCGGGGGGCTCTCCCCAGGCTGCCAGGAAATCAAGCACCCCAGACTAGCTGAGGGGAGAAAGATCTCAGCAAGAGCTCTCAGACTGACCAAGCTGTCCAGGGGTGACACAGTGCCTGCTGTCTGTGTGACCACAGAGCCTGAGTTCCGTCAGCCGAACCAGAGGCTCCCAGGGGACACGGCAAGTCAGATTTACAACCCCGTTCTCTTCCTCAGCAAATAGGTCTGAATCAAGACAGGAACTGAACTGCATGACAGGTGAACTCGATGCTGAGTTGAGCCAATGTGCTCACCCAGCCTAAGACAGGTGTCAACTCTGTGACTGCTGTCAGAGATCTGTCCTCCCTGAGAACCCTCCTGACCTTTATCTCCATGCCCCATGTGACACCCCCATTTCAGAACACGATAAACCAGTAACTGGGCACGTGCGCTCTGTGCAAATGGAGCCATCCACTAATAGTCAGAGGTATGCTGCACAAAACAAGGGACTGAAGCACCTGGCAGCGACAGCAGAGAATGCCTCCAGTCTGGGGCAGACTGCACAGGCCTGGAACCATTCTGCTCTCCCACAACAAGCTGTGTGTCAGAAGGGTCTGGTATCCAGGTGTGCCACATCCCACCAGCTGGGAATCTCTGCTCTCCATAGAGGCTGCCCAGATCCTCAGCCAGGGTAATTTAGAGAATCTCTACTCAGCTTGTGGCTTGGCTTTACTGTTAGCTACTACTTTATCCAGAAACAGTGGATCTTGAAGAAGAACAAGGTCACTCAACACGTGACATGTTTAAACAAGCAGCAAACAGTCATGCAACTCTTGGAAAATACATAAATGTACTGTCACACTCAGATTAAAATCATGCAGTGCTTTTTGGAGAGGAGGAAAAGGAAGTAGCCTCTCCCCACTCCTAAACCCGTCATTTAGGGATGCTGCTTGCACAAGGTCAAGTGGCTCGTGGTGGTGTTTCCAATTCTCCACCTTCTAGGGAAGATAACACACTGCAGAGCTATTTTAAGAACATCTCATTCACAAAGGTCTCCAATTCAGTCTTCAGAGAGAGAGATGATTTTCTTGCTGCTTCAACATCTTTACTGGCATGACATTTGCTTCAGAGGGAATTCATTTGCTGTTCCAACATCAGAATGAAGCAAGAGCAGCTGCCAGGAGAGGGATAAAAGGAAACACTGGTGACAAAGAGCAGCAGGGTCATTTCTGGTGCAAAGAAATATAGAACAGAGAGAACTGCAGAACTGTCACTTTCTCCAGAGAGCAGCAGGGGATAAAGACTTCCCCTCTGCCTCCTGCAACTGGTGTTTAGCAGCAAGGAGGAAAATGAGACAGAAAGGACTAAACAATCCGGCTGAAGTCTTTAAATGACGAATTATTACAAACCAATGGTAAGCACCTGAGCACTCCCACTTAAAGCCAAGTTCATGAGCAAGTGCTGGAGGGAAGTAGAGAATTCAGTAAACCCTCAGGACTCTCAAAAGAAAACACTTCTGGCTCCAAAGCTGTGCAGAGCATGAGTTCAGTGGTTGGGAGATGACAGTCCTGGGGACGATCTCAAGCCACAGTGCTAATCTTGACCATCATATCTGTATGTGCAGCACACTGGACAGACCCCAGCACAGACACTGCTCTGCAAGAGCCACGGAGGGCTGACAGGGCAGGGAAGGAACATAAGTGCCTGTAGAGTCTGATGTTCAACATCAGAGAGATGCACGATCTCAGATGACACCATCTGTCACTCACACCAGTTGTCCCCTGCCCCATCCCAGGCACGTGAGTGCTGCCCTGCTGCAGGAAGCACCATTCCACCCTTTAATCGCTGTCCAAGGCAGGGCCACGTTCCCACACTGCTGTTTAAAGGCTCTCTTGGCCAACGTGCCTTTTGGCCTGACCAACAACCTTACACTAGGCCTGTTTGGTTGGACTACTGGATTTTTGTCCCTCTGTCTTATTAAAACGTTGCCTTGAGAGGGCAGGGATTTATCCCTCATTCCACAAGATGAGCAGATCCTTGCCCTCTTCCTAGATGAAGACATACTGCCATCCTTGCAAGCATTAAGACAGAAACCTTCATAAATAACCAAAGTTGAATGAAAATATTCTCTCCCCTGCTCCTCACTGCATTTTATTAATGGAGTAATTTATTCTTTTCCAGTTTCATAGAGAAAAGGTTTTAAAGACAAAAACTCTGGGAAATTATTCATTGTAAAGAAAAGGAATAACATACTCCAACAGGAATTTTAATCCCATGATATTTTGTGTATATGTTTATTCTACTGCACATTAGGATCACAGCTTATTTAGAGCATGGTATTTATCTGATTAACCAAACCCCCTCAGAGTCATAGGCATCAGCACCATGCTTATGACACCTTTAGGGCTTCAGCATTAGGATTTATGAATTAAATATTTCCAGGGTGTTACAGAACACTGAGGACTGCATCTGCAGAGTGGTATATAAGGGTATGTGTGGGCTTGTCAAACACCCACATGATAAATTATCAATAGTGTAGCTCAGAGCACCCCTTTTTTGGATCAGAGACAAATCCGTGCATTTTATTATGCTTTGTTCCACTTGATGTAACCTTTTCTGCATTAAAGGATCACAAAAAGCCTACATGCCTAAATGCTGAAGGACATCCATACACAACTCACAACCAAAAGACTTATTCTAATATTCCAAGTTCTGTTTTCACAGCTAGTTTGTGTATGACAAGGAAAAAAAGCCCACAATGTATGTCTGGAACTGGACCGTTACATTTTATACCGTGCAAGATAATACAATCTTTTGTGGAGAATTTTAAGGTTACAACACTGCTAAGGACCAGAAACAGGACTGGTTGATTACAAACTGTCCTCCATCCCTGCCCGTGCACAGAGAGCTGTCAAAAAGATTATATCCCTGCAAAGCAAGTGTCAAATCCAAGGGGAAAACAAATCTCTCAAGAGTCAGAAAAGACTACACTTGAAGCCGTGGATTTTTGAAAATGAACAAATCTGTGCCCTGTGTTTCTGATGCACAGAATTGACTTTTCTATATAGTTTTTACCTGAGTTTAGCACAGACAACCCCAGCTATAGCAGCATTCCCTCTCAGACAGCAGACTTGTACTGGTTACAGCACTCTTAGTGTGAGGACAATGCTAAGAGACAGATGCATGTCCCCATGAATAACTGTCTTCAGCAGTAAGAGATTAGAATTGATCTGTCATGTTTCAGCAGCAGCAGTCACCAACCCTGTATCTCCAGGCCTCACTGGGGACGACAAACGAGCTGCCCTCAAACCAGGCTTTGGCAGGACCTCGTGCAGTGGCTCTGCCTGCCCAGTTCCAATTACCATGGTTGGATTTTGCCAACTCGCCCATCAAGCAGCTCAGGCTCACTGAACCACTCCCAGAACACTCCTGATCCAAGTTCCAGGAGCCAGCTCAGTGACGAGCCCCTCAGCAGCCTCATGTTTCTCCAGGGGGCAGGTGAGGAGCAAGCGCTGACTGACACCAGCACACCGTCAATTCACTCTGCTTTAAGGGGCAGTGTTCACACAGCTCACCGGGAACACGTCCACGTTACAGACCTGCACCGAGGAAACCAACGGTCTATCGGGGAGCACTTTGTCAGCAAGTTCCGTGTTTCCTTAATATCCTCTTAAAAGTTTTCCTTACACACACCTCTGATGAATCAACTGGATCTCATCCTCCCTAAATTTCATAGCAACCCTGCTCTTCTGCTCCCTGCTGAAAACCAGCGACACGGCAGTGTCTGACCACACTGCTAGGACACTTCCTGACCCAGTAAATACCTAACTGTACAAATATTTTAGATGACACTGTGTTGGGACTTGAATAATGACACTGAGACAATGATCTGCAAGTACACCAAGAATCCAAGTTCCCACACAAGGATTATTGGGCCACTGCTCTATTTTACTACTTGGAAAGGTATTGCATTAGCAGACAAAGAAAAAAGTCCATCACGAAAACACGAGGGAGAGTTTTAAAAGCCTTCTCGTCTTGCTTGGTCCCTGCTTCCTTCTTCCTTCCCACACCTCCCCAGAGACCAGGAGAACCCTTGGTGTGTCCATATCCATACCCACATTACCAGCCTATTATCAACTCCAATGAAAACCCTGACCAGACAGCTACAAATACAAGTTCTAAAGACATATTCTGTTTCTTCCAACAGGTAATATTAGAAAATGCCTGTAAACCAAGCCTACTCTTGCCTGCTTTTATTTATGGTGTTTTTTAAGTGAAATCTCTGGTTTTAGAGACACGATGGCAAAAAACCTCTGCTATCATGCTAATTCCAGACTGGAACACAAGTAACAACATTTAAAAATGCAGCAGAAACAGCTTTAACAAATAAACCCATCTTCAGTCCTGCAAGGCTTTTCTTGTTTACATAGTTAAAGAGCAGGCAAAAAGGACTCAAACCCATTCTTACAAAGACTTTGCATTCGAGTTTCAGGAGCTGCAACCGGCTTTGGCATTGACGCTCTGCCCGCCGATGCCCAGTGTCCAGAGACAGGGAGGGTGGATGGCAGGGTGGGCGCTGCAGCACCGGGGCTCTGGTAACACCGCAGCAGTGCAGCCGTCCCGTCCCGGCTGTGCGGGCTCCTGCCCTGCCAGCCCTTCACCCCAGGGAACCTCCTTATCACCGCCACAGGCCATTTAACTCTGCCCCACGGGCGAGGCTCCGATAACCAGGGGGTTTTCTGAGGCAAAACTATTCCTCAGGTAGGATTACTGTTCACACGAGAGAAACGGGAGGTGTTCCAAGCGCGGGGTGTTCCCTCACGCTGACGCCTCACACAAGGGCACCGCGCTCCCCAGGCCGGCGGGTTCAGGGCGTGCAGGAGGTGTTTGGTGCTGGTTCACACGTACCTCGCACTGCGCCCCCTGAGCGTGTCCCGGGCACGCTGCAGGGGCCGGGGAGGCACTGCTGGGAACGGCAGGAACGCGAGGGGTTTGCCTTGGTGTGCCCCGGTGCCACAGCTGCGCCACAGACCGGCCCCGCTGCAGCCCCGCCAGGCAGCCCGAGAGACTTGAGAAAAGACCCTCGAGCCCCGGAACGAACTCCCTCAGCAGCCCCCTCGCCGGGCACCCCCGGGCTCCAGGGAGCGGGGTCAGCCCCACTGGCCCGCACCGGGCGCGGGGAGCGCGGGCAGGGAGAGAGGCAAGGAGGGAAGGAAGGAGGGAGGGAGGGAAGGCCCCACCCGGCGCTGCCCCCTCCGCGCGGCCCCCGCCCCGCCGCCCCCTCAGCGCCCACAGCAGCCCCGCGCGCCGCGTCCTCACCTCACCCCGCCCCGCGCCGCCATTGGCCCCGCCCGCCGCCCGTCAGCGGGGCCCGCCGCCCATTGGCCGCCTGCCGCCTCTGGGCGGGCTCACCGGCCACTTCCGCGTCCGTCCCCCGGCGCCGCGCTCTGCGATTGGCGGAGCAGCGGCTCCTTCACCGCCCATCGGCGCCGGCCACTGGCGAGGGGAGCTGTCAGTCAGGCGGCCGCCCCGCCCCCCGGTGCCATTGGCCCAGTAACCCCTTTTCGGGCTCTCGTTTCTCTGCATTGGCTCATCGGGTCGGACGGGCGGCCGCGATTGGGCGAGCGGCGGGTGCCGGGGGCGGGACCGCGCTCGGGAGCAGCGCCGATTGGCCGGCGGGCCGCGGGGATTGGCAGGAGGGCGCGGGGGCGGGGCCGCCCGGGGCGAGGGTTGTGTGAGGTGAGGGAATCTCGCGGGGTCTCGGCGGCTCCGGGCGCGGCGGCGCGCGCTGATTGGCCGGCGGGGTCACGGGGGCGGGGCCGCGCCGGGGCGGGGGGGGCTCCGCGCGGCCGCGCGCCGGGGGCGGGGCGCGCCGGGCGCCGCGCGCCGATTGGTCGGGGGCGGCTCTCGCGCAGCCCGGCGGGCCGGGCGCGATTGGCTGCGGGCGGCGTCGGGCGCGCGCCCCGCGGGGGGGTTGCGCGTGCCCGCGGCGCGGCGCGGGCGGCGGGACCAGGTGAGAGCGGGGCCGGGGCCGCGCGCGGCTCCGCGCCCCCGCAACCCCGCAGCCCCGCAGCCCCGGCCGCGGCCCCTGCCATCGCCCCGACCCCCGCCCCGGCCCCGCCCCGCCGCGGGCCGCGCTGTCAGGGGCCGCCGCGTCCTGCCCCGCGCCCTCCGCGGCCCCAGCCGCCCCGTCATTCATTTGCCGCTTTCCCCCTCCCTCGCCCTCCCCCCACCCCGCCGCGGTTCCTGCCCTGCCCCGGCCCTTCCCTTCCTCCCTCTGTTTTTATCTTCTTTTCGCCCCCCTCTCCTCGCCCCGCCGCCCCCCTTCACTTTCTCTTGGTCCTTGTGTGTGTTTCAGGCCTTCAAGGAAAAGTTACAAACTCCCGAGTTGTTGCTGCCGTGAGGGAGCAGGTGCCTGGAAGGAGGGAGCGATGTAGGAGGTGGCCGGGCTCAGGGAGGTTCGGGGGATCCATGGAGAGGGCGTGGGAATGGCAGGGCTAGGCTGGCCGGCCCTCGCAGGGTGTTCAGGGCAGAGGCTCCGAGCCCTCCCTCCGGAGGGAAGGGGGATTGATCGCGGTGTTTAATTTCTATAACAAGAAAAACGACAAAAAAAACCAAAGTGAAGGAGAAAGCCCAGGCCAGCCCCAAGGCAGCTGCCCAAGGATGGAGTTGGAGTAGCCAAGCCCGGCTGGACGCTGGGGCAGGGGTTGGCGTTCGCACACATGAAGAGACTCCCCGAGTGGTTTGGCTTCGCCGGGAGATAAGGCCAGTGGAGCTCCATGTTTTTAAAGGTGGGCCGTGTACGATGAAACCCAACTTCTTTTAAAGTGTAGCAGATTTTAATTTTTATGGCCAAATGACAGCTTGACCCAGTTGTCATCCAATCAAAGGGCATTTTTCTCTTTTGTTGAATGTCTCTTTGTGGCACGACAGCCAACGCAAAAATGATGGCGGCTTACAATGGCGGTACGTCTGCGGCAGCAGCGGGTCACCACCACCACCACCACCACCACCTTCCTCACCTCCCTCCTCCTCACCTGCACCACCACCACCACGCGCAGCACCACCTGCACGCGGGCTCGGCGGTGCACCCGGTGCAGCAGCAGCATGCCTCGTCTGCCGCCGCCGCCGCCGCCGCCGCCGCCGCCATGCTCAACCCGGGCCAGCAGCAGCCCTACTTCCCATCGCCCGCCCCGGGCCAGGCCCCCGGCCCGGCCGCCGCAGCCCCAGCTCAGGTACAGGCTGCAGCAGCCGCTGCGGTCAAAGCGCACCATCATCAGCACTCACAGCACCCACAGCAGCAGCTGGACGTGGAGCCGGACAGACCCATCGGATACGGAGCCTTTGGTGTCGTCTGGTGAGTAGAGGCAGGAACGGGCCAATTCCTCCTTGTCGTTCTTTACCTGGTCGTAACTCATCCCTGGTCTTGTTGTTGGAGCCAGAACACCAGAAAGCTGCTTACCACTTCTTCCCTGTTCTTAGAAAGTTGCTTTGCCTGTTTGTGTTGGCAGAACGAGGCTCGGAGTGGTGAGGAGCCACCTCTGACCAAGAGCCCACCCCACTGTTCTCCTCTGAGACAATGCAGCTTGTTCATGCCCTCTCTGTACCTTTAATCAGAGCGTGCATCTGTGCAGCTAAGCCGTGCTTCCTAACATTTCAGGTTAACAACCGAGTATCAGAATATTCATTTTGACCTGACTTAAGAGCCAGAAATGAAAAGCGTATGAAAATGTCTTCCTTGTGCAGTCACCTGTCAAGATCTTTGTCTCGGCAGCGGTTTGACCCGCGGTGGTGCTGGGTGCTACCTGAAACAGCACAGCTGAACTTTGCTCCTCTCTCAAAAATGGAAATGGGATTTCCTGCCTCGCTGGAGCGCTGCCTCCGGCCCTTTTATCCCCCAGCTGCGATTCAGAGGAGTCTGTCGGCAGAGTGGAATCCCTTCTCATGCATTTTGTGACCACCTTAGTGCCATGTATGTAATCACTGCCCTTCAGGAGCACCGACACAAAGCTGGCAGGAGTCTTTTATAGATCTGTATTTTTGTTTCTAGCTGTTTGTCAGCTGGCCGTGTTCTGAGCTGTCCTTGGCAGCACGAAGGCACGGGGGTGTTCTGGAGAGCAGGCGCCCTGCACTTCCTGCAGCACGACTGCAAAGTTCCAGCCGTGTGTGGTGTGTCAGAGCTGAGCCCCCGCCGTGCCCCGGGGTTCGGCCTCAGGCACTGCCTGCGCTGCAGCTTCACCAGGGCAGCTCTTCCTTGCCTGGGTCAGGCTGTGCCACGCACGGAGGGCTCAGCAGGACAGGCCTCAGGAGAGCAAACCCCGTGTCCCTTCGGCACAGCCAGCCCGGCGTGGGTGCTAACGCGGTGCTTTCTGGGCGGGCTGCAGGAGCTGCAGCATGAGGTGCAGGTCGGTGCTGGGGCTGGGCTCGTGTCCCTCCCCTCAGAGCTGGGGAGTTCCGAATGCCGAGGTCTCCCAGTCGGAGGGGAGCTGTTGTGCAGTCGGTACTGCCGTGCCCTGGCTCTGGTACAGCGTTAGAAAGTGGATGTAAAAGAATGAAAACTGACAAGGAATCTGATGTAAAAATTACCTAAAAATATTTCCATCTGTTTGTATCTTTTTATTTTATAAAGTCTGGAGTTTTTTAACTTAATTGTTACAGGCTTTGCTTAAATTTAGGTTGTTATGTAAGACGAGGCTTCATTACTGTTTGGTACCGGTGTTCTGTTTACCTGTGCGTTTCCCAGGGCTTTATTTTCTCAGTTCTGTTTGCTAAAAAATAAGGTGCAGAGAGAGATCTGGTTCTGTAATATTCAGTAGATTGAAAGGTCACGCTTGCATATTTAAATATATCATTAAGTGTGCCGAGGGGAAAGAGGAAGCGCAGAGAGAAAGGTCTGACTGGCACCAGGTAGGACAGTGCCGTTCCCAAGCCCCTGGCCAGGCACTTGCTGCCACCCAACAGGAACTGCCCTGGGGGACTGTGCCTGCAGAGCTGCAGCTACAGCTTTAATTTAAAGCTTGGAAAAGAGAACCAAAGGGGGAGGGTGTTTAATAAAAGCAGAAGCTGGGAGCTCAGATCCCTCTGGCAGAGCTGGGGCTGCACTGGCTCACTCATTGGTGCAAGTGAGTTCCTCTCTTCTCACGTGTGTTTAAATTCAGTGGTCACTGCTCGGCTTTTGGCATTTCATATTAACTTCTGCCAGTGAGTGCAGGCTGAATTTAGGAGTGTGTAAGCAGTAATTAGACTGAATTTTAGTTTCGTTCCAAATGCGGAAGAATGTCCGTGTAAGTGAATTTTAGCTATGTGAGATAATGCAGCTGAATGTAAACATTGACTTGGGTATTTATAATTTGAGGTGACTTGGACACGAGAAATGTACACTTGGGTCCATGTGTGACACAGAATTTGTAAGGCCTGAGCTACTTTGGAATGAGGATTCTGTTGTTTGTTGGTATCTCTGAGTGTGTATTGGTGCTAATGGGCAACTTAAAAGTTCCTGTCAGTACTTCTGCGGGAAATGGATGTTATTCCACAGTTGGAGTATTTGCAAACTTCTTTCGTTTTCTACTCTGGTGTGTCACTGCACTGTGGGGAAGGTGCAGGTGACCCTGCCGCTCAGTTCCAGCGTCAGAGGAGCGATCAGTGTGTGTTGTTGAGCTTCCCGTTACCTCACCGAGAGAGATTTTCTCTTGGCAGTTGAACTAGCATTTGTCATTAGTTCATTTGTCTGCTACTCGATGATGTTTCAGGGGAGCTAATGTGCTGCTGGAGTTTTTCACTCGTGAAGAGCCAAAGCCTGGCGCTTCAGCACTTTCATTATTAACTCCTGCGGGCGGGTGCTGCTGCCGCTGGGTCTGTGTCCTCACTCATCTGGGCACCATTTCCTTGGATATCAGCTGTCCCTGGCACGGCATCTGTGGATTTTCAAGTGAATCTAACCCCAGCTGGCAAAGTGGAAAGGAATCTCTTGAACAGTCGGCCTTGACCCGCTGCATTTATCTGTACTTCTCAGCTCTCACTGTGCTGTAACGTGGTGCAGAGGTGTGCAGGGAGTGCAGCGCTGAGCTCGGGGTCCTGAGCTGGGCTGAGGCAGGGACAGGTGTGCAGGGACCTTTCCC